TTGTCACTATTAGCAATCCCATTGACTTGTTCAAGTGTATCTCAACACTAGCTTTGCATAAAAAGGGACACTGCAGCTGGAAAAATGAGGAAAAATTTCACTTTGTACATAGGATAAAGTCCTAATTGGATTTGTACACTGTCCTCCCACTCTGTTCTTGAAGATTAAGTGCTACATGTGTAAGTCTGCCTAAATAGGTAGCTAAAACTTGTCAAAATGTCTGCCGCAGTTTGTCAATAAAGTTTAGTCCTTTTTTAATCAAAGTAAATGTGATGAATTGTCATTTTTTTGTTGAGCAATAAAATAGCTATTTTTTTTCAAATAAATTTAAATTAATGCTAAAGCTAATTGTCTTTTTAAAACATGGAGGCATTCAAAAAATGGTGTTTTTTTGTAATTTGCACAAAAAAGTTTATCAAGCTCGTTGAAAGAGCTTAATTTAAAAAAAAAAAAAAAGAAAAATTTTTTTTCACCCCCCTGGAAGTTGTTGAAAGCAGTTTGATCCTGGACTGTGGCAGAAATCTGACTTCAGTCTGCTGGAAAGTCTTGCTGGTTGTTTGCTGAACTGCTGATTCAGATTTCAGGTGGCCTCACAGAGAGTTCCAGGCTGCAGACTCCAGACTGAGTCTGAAATGGCTGGTTTAAACCTAGCGTGACAAAATGAATGCTGAAAAACCCAAGGCTTAGCTGCCACCAGGAGGAGAAGGAAGCTTGCTTTCTGCTCTGTGTAAACACCCCGAGCCCCCTTGGCTACGATGATGCCCTTCCCGCTTTACGGCAGCCTTTACGTGGAAAGCCACTTAAAAATGTATCTCTGTTGGAGCAGGGTGCTGCAGTTGCTCCTCATATCCTTCGGAGAGGGGGGTTGTGTATAGCGATGTAATCCAATAGCTTAACGTAAACCGCTGCTTAGAGAGACGTGACAAATGGTTTGTATTTCCCATCTGCTAGATGAATCTGGCATGCTAGGGGGAGAGAATTAAACTGCTCGGGGGTGAAAAATAGAGCTCTAGGAACCAAACTGCTTTGTAGCAGTGCATGACTGAGGGGAATACTTTAAAACAAAAAGTTGTATTTGTAGATTGTTATTAAAGTGTAAATAACTGAATTTTCAACAATGGTTTGGAGTCAGCTTTCAGGGCATAATGTCTTGCTTGATGAAAAGATCACCCTATACCCCCCTTTTAAAGGAAAATTATCGCAGGAGAATCAGGATGTGTAAAGCTAACATGCATCGCAAAACCCAAAAGGTAACCTAAATGTCTGATTTTAATAGCACATTTCTCTTTTACATAAACTGTGACGGCAACTTGCATAAACTTTATTGAAACAATTCTTCAGATGTTAATTTTAATGTAAAAATTTGCAAAAAATGTTTAAAATAAACATTTAAAAAACCCACATGCTTCTGCATAAATTAGCAATAACTTTAATAATGTGCCCTTTGAACATGCACTGTAATGTAATGTGGGCAAAAAGGAATCGGCAAGCTTAAATATCAAAAGATGTAAAATGACAACGAATATAGATAGTCCTGCTACTGCCAAAACAAAATTCTGCTCAGTTATTTAAAAGTGTAAAATGATGGCCCTTTTTAGACCCCAGTATTGATATTTACTGCGAAATGTTCAAAGCTCAGCTTAAGTTGCATGTTTTCCTTCCTGTGTAATTGCATGCAGGAGTCTTTTTCTTTTGGCTTGTGCTCGCATTAAGGAGGCTCACAAATGTCTTCAATTTGCAGGAGTCAAGAGTACGTCGCGATGAATCACTTGGGTGAAGACGAGCAGGGGCAACACGAAGTGGGTAAGTTTGTTTATTTTTGCAACCCCTTGCAAGCTGCTAGCATGTTCTGTGTGGGAGGTGGGGGGCGGCACCATCTGAGCTGCTAAATTGAAGCCATTCTTTATATACCCACAAATAAATTACGCTTGCGAAAGGCCCGTTAGATGACTGACACTCTTGCAGAGGTCATGGTGTGGAGGAGGCTTCGGTATGTACCTGCGTAGCGCTCTCCCACCAAGATCCCATGGAGAGGAGGAGGTTTAAGTGGATTTGAGGGGAGAGGGAAACGTGGTAAGGAGATCTCTCTCTTGGAGCTGGTTCCCAGCTGAGATGCTGGTCTTAATGAGAGAGCTCTCAGCAGCCAGGCAGTGTTGAAGTTGTTACCCCATGCTCTAGAAACAGAGCAGCCCAAGGAACATCATTAAGAGTCCATAATGTATTAGAATTATAGACTGCAGATTTTAGACCAGGGGCTGCCCAGCTGGACCTTGCTAGTTCTACCCCTTCCGCACCCCCATCGATGGGCTCTGAAATGTCATCTGGCCATTGCCTGTTCTCTCTTCCGTGGCTTGTTGTCTGGCATCGTTGCCAGAGATGCTCGATCTGTGATCCTGCCAGCCTGGCTGGGAGCCCCGTGGGCTGCCTGCCTGCTGCCAGTGAGCGAACAGCCAGAGCCCTGGAACCCATGGGGAAAAGCTTGTTCTCCAGTAAATACCTTAACAAAAGCACATAAATGGGTGCAAACCGAGCAGTACCTTGGTTGGGGATGTTGTCACACACCAGTGGCGTGACCTGCTTGCACAGCAAGGACACATCTGCCCCCAGGCCCCAGCAGCCATAAGCGTTTCCTGTGGGGACAGCTAATCGCTTTCTCTCAAATCTCAAGATCACTGGAAGTCTGAGCTGCATAAATAAAAGAACAAAGAAATAAACCTGTGCAATGCTGAAGTCTAATGGCTTCAAAAGGCAACCATGAAGAGCCCGGGGCATAGGACGTAGAAGGACAGAAGTCTTATTTTATATGGAGTTGTAAAGCTACCAGACGAGCTTCTCTTAGGAGTGTTAGGAACAAGAAAGTGGTGATATGTGGAAATGCTGCAACAGAGTGAGATCACCCTCAATTCTTTGAGTTTAACTTGGATCTGTAGTTTTCTGCTAGGGGAAATCATAACTTGTCTGGATTTGTGGCCTGTTTATCGAATGCATCTTCATTTACAATGTAATTGGAGCATCAGTTTATATGGTGTTGTACCAATCTCTCCCATTTCTCTCTTAATAGGCACAGCTTTTATATCAAGTGGAAAAGATTTGATAGAGATCATCTATTATGATGCAGTTTTTTACCAGTAGAAGTGGATCTTGTGAAACTGCCTTTGGAGTAATACAGCTTGCTTGTGCATTGCATTCATTGCATGTTTATGTGAAAGATTTTAGTGTTATGGAGGAATGTAAATCCTAATATATTGAAATAACTGTATATGCTAAAAGTATTTTGAAAACATGCCCTGCATCAAGTATCTTCCTCCCTCTCATAGCATTACTACATTCAGATTTTAGCCTCGAGTCTGCAAAAGCTGATTGGAGATCCCAAAATAGCCATCAGCATCAGATGTGTCTATCAAAGATGCTCTAATTAGGCAGACGTTCCGGGGGTAATACAGGACGCGCTGAAATTTGTGAGGGACAGAGATTCCTTTGAGTGCTGAAGTCTGAGTCACCTAAATAACCTTCCCTTTTCTCCTGACGCGTAGCCACCAGAGTTAGTGTTCTGCTGGCTGTGAGCGAGCAGGTGCCAGTGATCTTTCATCTCCCAATTTCCCCAAAGGGCTAATCCACATCTCATTATTTGTAGGATTTTGGTAAAGACCATAAACAAGATAAAGGCCCCCGTTGTGCTTGGTGCTGTACAGTGAGATGTACAGCAGCAGCCACGTCTCCTCTGCGGAAGCGTTTCCCAACAATACTGTTCTTTTCAAGAGAAGCTTGGCTCTAGCAACATCCTCCTGCTGCAGAGCGCTCCATGCCTCAGCAGTTCCATCTTCTCGGTCCCTTGCTCGGGGTGGCCGCAGCTTCTTTGGCCCCTAGTCCAGCCCTTTGCGTAGATACTGGGGCTGGCCTTGCTTGGAGCTGGTATAAACCTGGACCTTACACGTCCTCGGTGAGGTCTCACCATGCATCGTGGTTCATAGCCAGGATCCTGGACAGCAACAGGAACGTGCAGCGGAGCTTGAGAAAGGAAAAGCTTGAGCATGAGCAGGAAAACTGCTCCCAGTGGGACTGCAGAGATGTCCCCAGCAGCTCTTCCTGGAAGGAGACACTCATAGCCTGCCCACTCCTTACCCCTGGTTCCAAGTTGCTGTTGGGATTATTAAATAAAGCAAATGGTTATAAGCTTTATTTTATCACTTACCTACGGGATTTTTATGTTTAACTTAAAACACTGTGCTTTCGGTAAGGCGAAGACATTACCTTGATACGGCCCTCTGTAAAATTTGTATTTGGTAAGTGGGGTTTGAGAGCACAGCTGGGTTCCCTGTTTGGCTCTTAAAGCAGAGGATTCTTTTTGTACAGAATGAGTTTTTAAATTTGTACGAGAGCGTCCGTCGCAAACAGAGCCAAGGAAAACAATTTAAATGTGCGCGTCTCCCCTTCCTCGCCCCACGCCGCTGCTCTCCTGCAGAACGCTTGGGCCAAGGGCGATTCCCGCAGCCTGCGGCAGACCCGCGGGACGGCCAGGACGAGGAGGAGGAGGAGGAGGAGGAGTGAGCGGCTGTGGCCTCTCCTGGGAGACACGGAGGAAAACAGGCGGTGCTGCAACCGCGGCTCGGCTCTCGGCTGCGAGGAACGAGTCCATATGGTGCTTTTGGGGAGGAAGGCAGGGCTTAGGGAGATTCTTCTTTAATTGATCAACCTATAACATCTTGGATGAGATGTTGGACACGCGCCCCGTTTGTAGGCTTTGAGGGGGAGGAATTTCTGCAGGCTGGTCGGGGCCCATGGGAACTCCCATCTCCAATGTAGACGTTATTCCTCTTTTTCTACTCCAGAAGCTCAGTTCCTGCGAGCACGGAGCAGAAACCTTTGCTGTTACTGCTCAGTTGAGCCTTTCCATTGCTACCATATGTTTTAATAGAAATGTTTGTTTCCGTGCTCATTTTGCAAAGCGGGATGAATATCCAGCGAGCTGATTTCAGCTCTGATCGAGGAACCCGGTTACGATGCCGTTCGCTTTGCTGTGGCTGGGAAATAGGAACCCGCCAGCTCTCAGCGAGTGGTGGAGGATGCCAGAGCCTCACTCGGCTGCCTCAAAAGCTGGAGAGCAGCAGTTACGTGTTGGAGTACTGAAATATAAAGTGTTTTCCAAGGAAGCTGTTCCTTCTGCTGCTGGCTTTGGAACAAGAAAGAACCAAAGGCTCGGAGGCCATGTTTGCAGACGCAAGCCTGTTCTCCGCCCGACGTCCTGCCTCTTCCCTTGGGAGTCGTTCTGGAGGACTGTTAGAACCGCGGCTGTCTGGATGCTCCTGCTTTGCAATGCCTCTGCGCGGTGGAGGTTTCAAAACCAGTAAGGAATGGAAGATGGGCCCTGACAAAGTCCGGTAACTTCAGAGAC